ATTTACTCCCGACATCTGAGCCGCTGAAGATGCAGAGGATTAACGTTACTTTCGTTTTGAAGGGAATGCGCCGATTCCCAATCTGCCTAAATGCGTTTAAGTTCGCGCGAATTATTCGTGATTGAGCTTCATCTACACAAGAAGTGAGTATAAGGTTTTTTATGAATCTTTGCAAATCGCCTTTCCTAATATGTACTAGTTAGCAAGTTTCGCTGCTAAAGTAAACAAACAGTACTGCTCGTCGTCACAAGAGAGAGGCGGTGTGGGCAGAGCTCATTAGCATTTAAAGCAACATGGACTAGAATTGCTTGCTAAAAACAGAGCTCATTTTGGCAGGGTAAAAAATAAATTTTAACCAAAGTATGTTATAGACTTTTCATTAAGACCCTAAAGAATCATATCAACTTGTATCAAATGGGCATCCGATGACCCCTTTAAAGTTCGAGGCTTCTACAATGACTTTTTATTAATTTTTTATTTTACTGTTTGTTCACTAAAAAAAGAATGCGTGTGCTACATTTCAGCTACATTTTTAAACATTTTATTCTCTCATATTAACTTACAGTAAACGTTTGTTGTAACATTCTGTTAAACAATAGCTATGTCTATTTATTTTAGACATTAGAACTATATTAGCCTACTGTATCATATTTGATATGCATTTCTAGGGCCTATAAATGATCAACATGATCAAAACTCTTCTGATAAACCGTAGTCTACTTCATCTGAACAAATCCATGCATTGTTCACCTAAAACTAAATCCAGTATCGCCAACTAAATGATTAATGATTAAATGATCATATAAGAGTTTGAAGTATTGAACTGAAATCAGTCTAAAGTCTACAGACCACAGAGTCTACATGTAAAAAATATCTTTTATTAAAAAAAAAAAATCTTGATTTATGCCGTATCCCCTGAGATACAAACATTTACAGGCAGATTATGAAAAATGTAAAAAATAAATTAATAAAATGTCACCCACGATACAAAACCCCTTTTTTTAAAAAGTCTCTTTATGCACCATTTTTCCCTTTTGCACACGTTCCCAGAATGATGGATTTCAGAAACACAGTTTCACCCCTGAACTTCCCCTTTAATGTAATTTAGACATCGCTTGGTTTCTTTCTCAAGCGTCGTGCATCATTAGAAGGCTTCACTATCGCTGAGTTTTCACATCGATCGCATCACATGCACACTCAGGAATCAGGTGTTCTGTAAACACGTCTCAATGAGGGTTAACAGGCTTTAGTGGCTCATTTAAAGGGCTGTGATTAAAAAACTGTGATTTAGCTTTTTTTAAAAAGGCACCTGAATCCTCTCTTCTTCTTTCTGAGGCTGTCCTGCGTCTCGTCTCTGGTGAGCGTGTGTTTAGAAGCGTCGTCTGAAGGGTTCGCTGTCTTTTCTTCAATAACCGCGTCGCTCGCCTGGTCCTTCTTCCCTTTCTTCCACCGCTTTGTGTTAAAAGTCAGTGTTTTGAGTTTCTTGGACTCTTTCTTCTCGGGCTGAGAGGGAACAGGTGTGAGGTTCTCCAGCTCTTCCGTGGGATTCTCCGGCTCCGGCTCCGGATCGGGCGGCTCCATCTTACTGAAGAAGTCCTGCAGCGGCTCCGTGGGTCCCGGGATCTGTCCGAGCGCTAGCAGGTATTTGGGATTGTGGTATTTGTGTGCCGGCACTTTCAGATCTCCGCGCGTCGCGTCTCCGAGATTGACCTGGAAGCGAGAAGTGGCCGCTGCGGGGCGTTTGGGCACCGCGGCCCGAGACAGCGTTCCCATTTGGGGCTTACTGATGTGAAACTCCTTAAAGAGGTCCAGTTTGTCTGAGATGGCGTACAGTTGTCGGAAATCGTTATCGTAGAAATCCACCACCTGCCCCGACATCACCGTGATCATGTTTCTGTCCATTCGAGAAGAGCTCCAGGAGAAACTGCAGAGACACAAACACAGCATGAGACATGAAGACGCTTCTGTCAGACTGTAAGCAGGTAACTCTCGCTCACCTGTACGTTCCAAACATGACTTTATCTCCGTCGATGAGCATGTACTTGCTGTGGACGTTTCCCGGGATTCTCCCCACGGACAGATTCAACCCGACTCCCTTTACGGTCCGAGTCCGGACGTTCTGACGGAAACACAAACCATTAGACATCGGAAATCGAAATTAGCTAATATTATAGCTAATGTCTAAGTGGCCGGGTTTTGGCTAGACCCATATGGCAAAACAATTTTTTTTGTGGCCAAAAAAAATAACAAATAAAAAATAATAATAATAATTAAAAAATTTTTTTTTTTTTAATATATAAAAAAATATTTGTTATATTTTAATATAAGTTAAATATACATTTACATTTAGTAATTTAGCAGACGCTTTCATTCAAATGATGAAAATAGAAGCAATCAAAACCAACAAAAAAGCAATAATAAGCAAGTGCTATAACAAGTCTCGGTTAGTCTAACGCAGTACACGTAGCAAGTTTTTAAAAAATTTTTTTTTAAAGGGGTCATCGGATGCAAAATTCACTTTACAAGTTGTTTGAACATAAATGTGTGTTGGAAGTGTGTATACATCCATCTTATAATGATAAAAATCCACCCATTTTTTTTTTTTTTTTTAAATCCCTATTTTAAAATCCCCTTTCTCAAATCAGGCTGTTCTGAGATTCCTGTCAGAATGACGTAGTTCTGCACAGGCCCCTCCCACGATAGTTGATTGACAGGTCCATCTTACCTTAGCTCCGCCTTGAGTGAGCTGTCATCAGTCCGCCACTGTGTCGACTCCGGTGCAGGGGAAGACAGAAATGTCTCCGATTAAGTGATTGAGGTGTTCTGTTGTTGGATGTAAAAATGAACATAGCAGTCGTCATTTACTCCCGACATCTGAGCCGCTGAAGATGCAGAGGATTAACGTTACTTTCGTTTTGAAGGGAATGCGCCGATTCCCAATCTGCCTAAATGCGTTTAAGTTCGCGCGAATTATTCGTGATTGAGCTTCATCTACACAAGAAGTGAGTATAAGGTTTTTTATGAATCTTTGCAAATCGCCTTTCCTAATATGTACTAGTTAGCAAGTTTCGCTGCTAAAGTAAACAAACAGTACTGCTCGTCGTCACAAGAGAGAGGCGGTGTGGGCAGAGCTCATTAGCATTTAAAGCAACATGGACTAGAATTGCTTGCTAAAAACAGAGCTCATTTTGGCAGGGTAAAAAGGTGTTTTTTACACTACCATTGAGAAATTTTAACCAAAGTATGTTATAGACTTTTCATTAAGACCCTAAAGAATCATATCAACTTGTATCAAATGGGCATCCAATGACCCCTTTAGGCATTTCATATGAATTCAGCACTCGAGTCCTATGAACTCGAACCTATGGTGTTTTTCTAGTCACTGTCACAGGTTTGGTTGAAGTGTTTCTTATCTGGTGTCTAAATGATTGCGAGGTCATCAAGGCAGCCACGGCATTTGGAAAAAAGCTAAACAAATCAATTTCAGTGAACTTATAAAGTTACTAAACAGCTGATGGGCTTCCAGCGTTCAAGATTCAGATGTTGTCAGTGACTAATAGAGTAATACACACTAGAGTTTAAACAACCAGGACATTTGCGGTTTTAGAAGTCTTTATTCAGATACTTTCCACAATAATCAGTGTGTGAAATGGTAAATCCACCAACACTTAAGGGTTTAAATGACTAATGATGCATTGATCATGACATGTAGAGACATTGGTTCCAGTTCGCTGACCTTTTCAGAGGTTATATGTGGGGTGTCAGATCCTGTCAGATGGTGGGTGTGATCGCCCTTCACTTCCTCTTCCTCTTCATACAGGTGCTTATGGACTCTTATTCTTACAAGAGTCTTACTTATTCCATATTCTATTGTGAAATCAGTTTTTTCCATTGTGATTGGAACATTTACAGATTTTAAGGAAGGTTCACAGTGCAATAGATACAAAAATATAAATCCGAAAGTACAGAAGAAAAATAAAATAAACATCTTGTGGCAAATTTTATACATGTTTCTATATATAAACAAGACTGGCTCTACCCATCACCTCCTCATTAAACATTCATATCTACCACTCATGCATATTGCTGATATAAATAAATATGACTCGCATCATACAAACACAGTCAAGCCATTACAGTATGAATTACTGTATAATGTTTGCGCTTTTGGAGCAGTCTATTCTAAACTAAAACAATTCATTGATTATTTTGAAAAAACACTGAATAAATCATGAGTCAGTCAGCAGCCCACAACAAGACTCTTGATCCTCGTGTTGTTTCGTCATTCTGACCCAGAGAGGATTTTGTTTTCCACAAAAATGCTGGTTAATGTTATTGCATTGAACTAAAACGTACTGACTTTAGGCCTCATCGATCTGTTTTGAGTCAATATTGCCGAAATTATCCACAGATATTTTTTTAACACTCAAAAACTGAAGTGCATAAACTCAGATTAACGATTCATATGATCAATCGGTTCAAAAAGGAAATACAAAACTTGTGCTAATTGAAAGAATACAAGTTGATAAGACTGAATCCAACATTTGATGATATTATAGCATAATGAGAGATTTACAAGCGATTTTTAAAAGGCCGGTCATTTTTGACTAGGAACACCAAAGGATTTTCAGCACAGAACAAGGGTTAAAAATGGCTGAAAGTCATTAGATGTTGTGAAATATTACATGAAGTGTCATTCATTGTAAAGAAAGATGCCCTTTAGAGACACGCTTTACAATCAAAGCATCTCATCTAGTGTTGAAAACACAGACTAAAAGTGTTGGGAAATATTAGAGTAACATTTTCTTAACCCACAGTGTGTCACAATCTTCAACATTCTTTCTTTTCAATAAATGACACTTTATTTGATATTTCATTGTCTAATGCAATGTAAACATGAAGAAATAAAAAAATCGCCACAGCTGTACATTTTGAAATGATCCTGACTGATGCAATGAAATATTATTACCTATTTCTATCTATATTTCAAAATCCTAAATGATAAATTGTTAGTCTTAACCACTGATCTATAATAGAGAACTGGATTGCTCATGACATCGTAAAAGTGAAGCCGCCATATTGGTATTCCCTTACATTCTATTGAATTAATAGCAAATCGTACCATTTTAATGAGAAAACATCACCTCACGAGTCCGCGTTTCTATATCTGAAGTATCCCTGTACGTTCTTACAATGCAAAGTTCTAAGCATGTAAATGGTTATTTATTTAATGTCTGGAATTTCCCCTGCATATTAAAAAGTTACGCATCATATTCATAACAGTAGCGAACATCGGAAGGACGAGAAATTATGTTGTGTTATTGTTTTTTATTCGTACAGTTGGCTAACTGCAAGTGTTTCCGCAATAATTTCATTGACAGCATGCATTTTGAAGCAGGTAAACGTTGGTTAAATAATTAATTAATTAAACATGCATAACATAACATTTTACTCCTATGGAAACAATGCTAGTAAAACGCCATAGAATTTGCACAATCTTTAAGAGTCTGAAATAGATGTTGCTACATCAGGACATAAAAAAAATACATGCATCATAACTTATTCAGAGAAATTACGCTGACTACATACGGTACGAACTTAAAGACATGAAGCTTTACTTCCAAGAAGATGCACGGTAAGCTTTGAATTTCAATACAATAGAGCTATAGTAAAAGAGGCTTGTATTGCAATATTTATTGTATATTCAAATCAATTTCTGATACTAATACCATAATTATTTTTTGTGTTGGGTCGGTTACCTGTGTCGGCAAGGTGGGTATTCTGCCCGAAAGGCCCATAAACATTGCAGATAACATCTGAAGTAACAATGAATTTACATTACACATATCCTAAAAAACGAATCCAGTGTGACGTCAAGGTTTTGGCTGTCAGTCAATGAATAGCAATATAGCGGCTCAAACACTTCAGAATGGCAATGAGCAATCCGGTCATTCTAGAGATCAATGGTCTTAACACTAGTTCTTTGGAAATTACAATCACACAAAGCTACACATGGAGTTATTCATTACATTCATTACATACACTAGTAGTCAAACGTTTAGACACATCGATTCATTCATTTCCTCATGTTAGGATAATAGTTAAAGTTATAAAATTACCCAAATATAAATCTGGGAACAGGGCTCGACAAGAAGGGCTACAAAAGCCAGCGTGGAAGATGACGGATTTGTCGCTGGCCCGATCTGGTCACATCATAATGAAAGTTTAATATTTGCAAGTTTTTATGCCTTGCCTATTTAAACATTCAAGCGATTTTTAAAGCATTTGAGCGCAAAAAGACGTGCAAAAGAACTCAATTCAGTATTCGTGCGCTGTGTTCTGTGTGTACAGTGCGCACATAGAGAGCCGCGTCCCGAATGAAGTTCTCTCTCAAGACTTATTGCACTTTAACAGACTAATACACCTGGCCAATTCGAACATTCAAGCGATTTTAAAGCATTCAAGCATAGGGCTGCACGATTAATCGAAATTAAATCACGATTAGGCAGAAGCTGCGATTGTCATGCGTATCTGTCAGTGAAGCACGGTTCTGTGATCAGCCGTAAATCTCTATCCGAAGGCCAGAGGGTGCTTATAATCGCCGAACGATTTCTTCGATTTCATAATCACGCTAGATCATAATCTACGGCTCTGTGTAGTAAATGCTGCTCCATCTGAAAGCACGTGCTGGAGATTTACTACTAATCACAGAACCGGCTTTACTGACAAGATGCGCATGACAATCGCATTCGATTAATCGTGCAGCCCTATTCAAGCACAAGAAGATGCGAATAACATCTTCATTCACTGTGTTTTGTGCGCACACATAGAGTCACATCTCGGGCAACGTGCGAGCCTCGTATTCTTTCCTCTTCTTCTTGCGCTTGAACGGACAAATACATACAAAAGTATGTCAAATACCCGTCTTGGTGAGTATTCTCTGAAACAGTTGGTTATGTCCTGAGTGAAATCGGATGTGTATGACTATATTGGATCCATGCATTGTGTTTAAACGCCTAATTTATCAGCTGCTGTCTTGTCTTTAATAATGTTTGAACTTTATATTTGTTAGGCTAGTGCTATGGTATCGAAATTGGAATTGTAAAATATAAGTTAAAATTTTGGTGTCATATAAGCTTATTTATTACAATACAAGGCAACACAGTTCAAAAACAACACTAACAACTATTTTAATTTTTTGTGTACCAAGCCAGTAGAAATTATTATTAATTTATTTTTTTATACTAAACTGTTTAGACTCCTTTAGATCAAAATGTTTTTAAGAACACAAGGAAATTGAGTCTGTGTCCAAATGCTTGACTGATCACATGACAGAAACACTGCTGATCATGAAAATAACAAAAACAACAACAACATCATATAATCTCGCCACATCCCGAAATTCAGCTATGATGTATAAATCTCAAAACTCAAAAAATTGACCCTTATGACTGGTTTTGTGCTCCAGGGTCACATGTGGCAATAATAATCAATAAAAACTGGTAATATTATTAAATAGGATGTGCATGGCAACTTCAAGGAATCCTTTCAAAAGTACAAGTTCAGTAGCAGGACGTGAAAGGCTGTGAGCAGAAGTAAGAAGCTGGGTAACAGCGCAGGAGTGAGTCGGAGTGCGTCTGAGCGGCTCATGCTGAGCTTGTATTGTGCGACCGTCCTCTGATAGCCTTCCTCTGAAAACATGCATCTGTACGTCCCTTCGTGAGTCTCGTTCATGCTTTTAATGAGATACAAACAGCCCTGCTCAGAGTGAACGCACTCCTCACGCGTCCTACCGTGTTCCCACTGGTACGTGGCATGGTGTGAAGTCATCGGGCAGAGTAGGAAGTGTTTTGAGGAAGGCGGGATGTGGATCACTGGCGTCTCGGTCTTTGATGGTGCGGCTTGAGGCATATCTGCTGAACAGACGGTCATGTGATGAGTTTGTTAAATTGGCATAAATGAGTAAATCTGAAAGCATTTTGTTTCAAAAACATGTGAGCTGTCAATTTAGACTCTAGAACAACCTCAGAGAGAATTTCTGTCTTAGATGACAGATGAAGCTGGTTGATTATGAATCACAGTAGGGCCGCATGATTTTGGAAAAAATCTAACTGCGTTTTTTTTTTTTTTTTTAATAAAACTTTTGATTTTTTGTTTTAAATGCCAATTTTAAAAAGTCCAGGTTTGTTGTGCTTGTTTTAAGGGCTGCCGAATTTGGTTGATTATATATCAAAATGTTGATTATATATCAATATTACTGTAAAAAAAAAAATAATTATTATTATTGCAAAATCAAAATATAACAATAGCAAATTATTATTATTATAGTTAAATCAAAATATTATAATAATAATGCATTATTTCATATTTAATATTAATTACAAGTCTAAAAATTACTAAAAACAAAATAATATTGTAATATTTCATTGTAAAATATTTTTACATTAACAAATGTCAAACTTACTGCAGTCTTTGATATCCTGGACTGGGTTTCTGTGGAAAAGAGGAAACATTACTGAGATGAGGATTCGATACACTATTCATAAATGTATTGTTTGGTAAATTAATCATAAGGTGTGGGGGTTTTTTGTGTGTGTGTGTGGGCGGGGGAAGTTATGTTAATGTTTGAGTGGTAGAAAATAAAGAAATGAGAGGAGATCTACATAAAAGGGGCTTCGTGTGGTCGAGCAGGTAAAGTGATGCAAAGAGGTTGAGTGTTTTTCAGTGGTTATGGAGTTTCAGAATCATTCAGCCTCATTTAGATATGACCATTACTAGTGCTCGTAATGACTTGAACAAACCTCAAATACTAGGCATGAAACTCATTCTGCAGATCACAGAGATTCAAACCACCTCAAAATCACTCACAATGCTCTAGCATCATTGCACAAC